TGTTTTTATAATTTTATTTAAATAATTATCTTTTTATAATCTGCAAAAAAAAAAAAAAAAAAAAAAAAAAAAAAAAAAAAACAAGAAAAAAAAAGTGGAATAAATAGAACAAATGAGAAAAAATAATAAAATTGAGAAAAAAAAAAAAACAATTTTTTTCTGTTTTTTTCTTCAAAAATTAAATTACTTCTAAAGTTAATTTTATTCTTTCAATTATTTTAAAATAATCGAAAATTAAAGTATTTTATTTTTTCAAAGAAAAAAAAAATACAACTTATAATTTTACTATAACTTCCAATTGTTTAGATTTTTTCCAGCATAATCTAATACAAATGACTAAATGTAAGATTTAGTTAATAATTAAAAACTGAAATTAAAATTTAAAAAATTAAAATATAAGTGTAATAATTATTCAAATAAATGAAAATGATAAATACAGTATGATTATCGCTAATGGAATTAATGGAATGTTTATGACATGCAATTCAATGCAAGAATAAATGATTAAATAAGTCATGTAATAAAGTAAATTTATTATTTATAACTGCAAAAAAAGGAAAAAAATATTTGAAAAATTCTAAAAAAATAAAAAAAAAATAAAAAAAAAACTGTTAAAATTAAATTTTTTATTATAAGCAATAGTATTTTTATCAATTTAATAAAGTTTTAAAAAAATAATAATAATAATTTCTATTCTAATTGTTCGAACTGTAATAAGAAAAATAAAAAATTTCAACAAAAAAAAAAAAAAAAAAAAAAAAAAATTTCTCAACAATATTAACTAATTAAAAATAATAAATAATCAAGTTTTAGTTTAAAATAATAATATTTTAAAAATAAAATAATAATAGTAATGACAATATTAACTAATTAAAAATAATAAATAATTAAGTTTTAATAATTTTTTTTTTTTGAAAAATAATTCTTATTCTAATTGTTCTAACTGTAATAGAAACAGTATAATAGATAAAAAATTTCTCAACAATATTGGATAATTAAAAATAATAAATAATTAAATTTTATTTCACTTTTTTTTTTTAAAAAAAAAAAAATGTTTAAAAGGAAGAGACGAAGATGCCATGATAATATTGATTTTGAGTAAAACTATTCAAAAAAAAAAACTTGAGACAACAATTCTTTTGGACTTTTCTTCTCAATCTCTACTCCACTTTCACTTTCATATACTTGCTCAATCTAGGCTTTCATAGAGAGTAAATTGAGCCTAGGCTCTGCTACTAGTAAGAGCTATATTAGCCATATACTCATCCATTTGCTTGCTTCATCGATCAAAATGACAAGAAAAACATGTTTGAAAAAAAATTTTTTTTTCTTACTTAGCTTCTTTTTTTTTTTTTTTTTTTGTCAATTTAATTTGACTATATTGAGAATTATATTAGAAAATAAGCAAAAAATATCCAAATACAAACACAAGCCATATTTTGAGATGGATTCAAGTTTAAATTTAAATCTAAACTCTAAACTCAAAACATTAAACATTAAATTTAAAATGTAAACCTAAAATTAAATTTAATTCTAAATTTTTTGTATTTTAAAATTGCCAAAATTATAAATATACCTGTCAACTCTTATCAGAATTTCTATTTTTTTTTTCTTTTTTTAAAAAAATAAGGTTAAGAAGAATCAAGAATCAAGGCGAAAAAACCTTTTGGTATAAAAAATTTTTTTAATTTCTTCTTAACTTTTTAAAAGTTTTCGATTACCTTCATATAATATGAAATATGAGAACTTGCATTTGAAAAAAAAAAAAAAAAAAAGAAACAAAAAATAGAAACAAAACAAAATTGAAAATATCCATCTCTATGTCATTAATTAATTGCAGGAAAATGATAAAATCAAATGTTAAGAAAAAAAAAAGTCTCATAATTTTTGATATACTGAAGAATTTCTAATTCCTCTAGAAGTGAACAATTTTTGTTTACATTGTTAAAATTAGGCACAAATAAAATAAATAAATAATAACAAAAAGAGAAAAGACAATGAATTGCTAGAAATGAAAAAATTTTTTCTTCTGCATATTTTTATAATTCTATTATATCATCTAATTTAGTTTTTAATTTCATGCGAATTATTTTTATTTTTAAAAAATTTAATTTTTAATTTTTATTTTTTAATATAATTGTTTGACAAAAATAATGCATATATAACCTTTATTCGTAAATTTGCTCGATTAACACCTAATTTTTATCCAATATTTTTATTGGTTTTAAATGGCGCAAATGGAATGTTTCATTGATATTAAATGATCATTCACATTGATCAGATGGCGCAAATAGAATATCTTATTGATACTAAATAATAATTCACATTGATCAAATGGCGCAAATGGAATGTTTCATTGGTATTAAATGACAATTCACATTGGCCAAATGGCGCAAATGGAAGACCTCACTGATATTAAATGATAATTCAAATGAAATATCACGAATTGATAATGGATGAATTTAATAAATCAAATTATAGGAATAAAAAGTGATATGTATATATAATGAAGTTTTAATTGTTTTCCATTTGAAAAGATTTATCCATTCTGTTACATTTATTACTTGAAAAAAATAAATGAACAAAAAAGAAAAATTTTTTGTAAAAGATAGAAAACATTGAGAGTATTTCATTAAAAATGCTATTTTGCATAATTTTATCACTTCAATTAACATATCATTTTCATAACTGAACATAGAAGTAAACAGGAAAATTTTTTAAAAGTAAATTTTATACATTTAGGAAAAGAATAGATGAAGATGAAACTTAATCCTTCTTTTCCTGATTCATTAGCTTGACAAATATTTGATAGTTAACTTTGCTTTGCTTGTATAGTTATACTTGAAAACTTGGATTAGCAATTAAATTACAGAATTCTGCTTCATGCATTAGATGATTAAGCTTCGAAGACATTTTTTTTTTTTTTTTTCGAAGACAAAAAGAATTTTAATTAATCTGATCGGCTAGAAAGCTTAATCTGATGCTAACTAGTACTAACTTAATGCAAAGAAAAAAGAAAGGTTTCCGAAATAGATATGATTTCAAATTTGATAAGATGATTCCGTCAGATAATTAATTAATTATTACGTGAAACGTGTATCTCAGTGATGAACTGAAGAGAAATTGTTGGATGTTACTTCGAGAATAAGCATCGAAAAAGTCAAATGTTGATAGCTACTATCGGAGTGAGTGTATGTAATAGCATCACTCAATAATCAATTAATCCGGATGAAAAAGAAAAACGGCAAACCCTGAAACCGGAGAAAGAAAGAGAGAGATATAGAGAAAGAATTTATATGCTCTTCTTGCAATCGATGCTCTACTGTATAAGTCAAGTTATAACATAATAAATCTTTATCTGGAAACATTTCAAACTTTACACTTAAAAATAGCATTTCTCGAGTTATTCACGTGAAAATGATAGCCCCAAAGTTTTACGCATAATAAGGACAATTCTTCAATTCACGTTACAGTTCTTGAACATCTCACGTTAATATGACGTAATGATGACAGCAGTCCTTGAACAGCTCACGTTAATATGACGTAATGATGACAACAGTTCTTGAACATCTCACGTTAATATGACGTAACGATGACAACAGTTCTTGAACAGCTCACGTTAATATGACGTAATGATGACAACAGTTCTTGAACATCTCACGTTAATATGACGTAATGATGACAACAGTTCTTGAACATCTCACGTTAATATGACGTAATGATGACAGCAGTTCTTGAACAGCTCGCGTTAATATGACGTAATGATGACAGCAGTTCTTGAACATCTCACGTTAATATGACGTAATGATGACAACAGTTCTTGAACAGCTCACGTTAATATGACGTAATGATGACAACAGTTCTTGAACATCTCACGTTAATATGGCGTAATGATGACAACAGTTCTTGAACATCTCACGTTAATATGACGTAATGATGACAACAGTTCTTGAACATCTCACGTTAATATGACGTAATGATGACAACAGTTCTTGAACAGCTCACGTTAATATGACGTAATGATGACAACACTTCTTGAACATCTCACGTTAATATGGCGTAATGATGACAACAGTTCTTGAACATCTCACGTTAATATGACGTAATGATGACAACAGTTCTTGAACAGCTCTCGTTAATATGACGTAATGATGACAGCAGTTCTTGAACATCTCACGTTAATATGACGTAATGATGACAGCAGTTCTTGAACAGCTCGCGTTAATATGACGTAATGATGACAGCAGTTCTTGAACAGCTCACGTTAATATGACGTAATGATGACAACAGTTCTTGAACATCTCACGTTAATATGACGTAATGATGACAACAGTTCTTGAACATCTCACGTTAATATGACGTAATGATGACAGCAGTTCTTGAACAGCTCGCGTTAATATGACGTAATGATGACAGCAGTTCTTGAATTGCCCACGTAATGAGGACAATTTCCACGTCAGTGACTCAAAGAAATCAATAACCACACACGATGTCATCTGAATATGCCACATGCAAACACATATTCACCCGCCTAACATTGCGTGGTTCTACAAACGATTGTTTGCACTGAGAAACGATAACAGCAGAAATTCATTGATGTCAATTTGGCATATTTAATTTGATATTGAGTTAATTCGTAAATTATGTGTTTGTTTAGATGTTTTTCCCATTTTTTTAAAAATCGTTTAATTATTTAATTTCTATCAAATATTTTTGATAGGATGAAAAATTAAATAAGTTCTGGATAATGTGAAGAATTAAACAATTTGTGTTAACATGAAATAGTTCGTAAGGACGTGAAAATTTAGTTAATTCATGATGATAACTTGAAAAATTAAATAGTTTTTGATAAATGTGAAAAAAAAAAAATGGATTAGTTTCTAATAACTGATAGTTCTTGATAATGTGCAAAAGTGGATTCAAATTAGAAAGTATCAAATAACGATGACAAAGTGACATTCAGTGAATTCAGTTTATATTATAATTTTTTTTTTTTTCAGATGAATGAAATGGCTACAAATAAGATTATATGCTGTAATTGTGAAATTTCATTAGTGCCAACGAAATATATTTATATTCAATGTGATATTTGTCAAAAGAAAGGATTTGATGTGAAACTATGCACTTCTGTATGTGTTATACTTTTTCTTCCCAATTTTTTTTTTTTTTTTCATTCTTTATTTTCAGATTAAAATTAAGCTTTGAAAGAGAGATTAGTTGTGTGATTAAACTTGTTAGCTAATTAAATTTATTAGTTTCATTCTTTTCTGCTAACTATTGAGCAAGAAATCCGCGTTACATTAATGAAATTACTACTACAATTGCTGTTAAGTATAGAGTAAAATTGAAAGATTTAAAAGTGAAATGTAAGAAGATTTAGGCATGATCAAATACTGTTGGATCCAAATTGATTATTATCACTAGGAATTGATATTGTGCAATAATTAATGTGAAAGTTTATTTTACCTATTTGATATAGGTAAAATAAATTTTTACTTTTAAAATATAAAACATAAAATTAAATATGTATGTGTAGCTGATATGAAAGAAATGGTTAGTTTGAGTGATAAAACAAATTATCATACAAACATATTTTATTCTACTGTGAAATGTAAGATATTAAGAAGATGATTATTTGTTGTTTTACATTCCTTTTTTTTTTTCTTAAATGATAGTAATAATAATAACTTTAATATTTTTTTACAGTGTTTTCGAATGGGTGCAGAATGTGGTCCACATAAACGTGGACATGCATACACAGTTATAGATCGTAAAGGACCTTCATTATTTCAAACAACATCTGATAAGCAGTGGGGTTGGAAAGAAGACCTGAAATTGATTGAAGCAGCACATAAGCACAAATTGGGCAATTGGTGTGTTTTGATAGAAAAATCTTTGTGAGAAAAATATCTTTGATAGTACATAATCATAGGTATCCATTAGTCGCATTCAACTTTTATTTATCTGTCGTTTTTTATTTAACAGTACAATAATCTTCCAAAAAAGAAAAAAAAAATTTTTCATAGTGTGATATGAAGATGATTTGTGCTAATGTTTTAGTATTCGCAACAACAAACATATCAAATTTTAGACAATTTCGATGACTGTTATTGGGATTACAACATAATAATAATAGGACTTATCTTTTTGAACTATTTGAAATTAAAAAATAAATACTATTGGTTGGATAATTTTAAAAAGATCTGCGATGATAGTTCTTTATTTATTTATTTGTTGCTGATAGATATATATTTATTCGTCATCATTTATCGTTCAGGGATGAAATTGCATCAGAGTTGGATACTGATAAAACTGCCGATGATGCTAGGAAACGTTTTGATCAATTTTTTATACGTGGTCCCTTTGGTCGATATGCAGCCGGTGCTATTTCAGGGTGATTTCTTCTCTAATTATTATTTTATGTTTAATTTACTTAACAGGTAAATTAAGCTGTAATAAATATATGGATTAAAAAATTTTGATATATTTTGAAATTGAATGGTGTAGTACTCTTCCAGTTTATTTATTTATTTGCTGTGTTACCTTATTATTACTGAGGTACTATCAGTTGTAGAAAAATAAGCTCGTGCAAATCGAATTCATTATTACTGATCTCTTCTTGCTGAATTATAGAAAAGGGTTTTTTTTTCCCTACAAAGTTTTAGGAGCAGCTTGCTTTACCATTATTTAACTATCATATTTTGAAAAGAGAAAAGGAAATTGTCAAATCATAACTAGAAAGGAAATAACAATAAATTTTATTATTACTATTTTTCAGGCCATATGTTGGTAATCATAAAGATGAAGAAAGCAGTTCATCACATCCTGAATCAAGTATGGTTGGTCAAGGACAAGTAGTAGATAGTTCAGATTGGCAATGTATGTTTTTTGTTTATTTTCTTCTTCTGTCACATTTGAGAAAATATAAATCTTGTAAAAATAATCTATTTTCTAGATATAACCGAATTTTTTCGTAATTACGATCAAGCCGTAGATTTGGACGATCCAAACTGGTTTGACCAATTCAAAGAGCCTTTGATGAAATTTAAGAGTGAATTTTATGCTCAACATGTACAAAGCCCAGCAAAAAAGAATGATGATGATGAGCAGCAACAAACTTTTGAAAATAATAATGATTCACAGCTGATAACTCCACCTTCATCACCACTTTCTGTGGAATTTTTGAGAGTGAGTTTTCTTCTCATTCATCTCATTATCAAAGGATTTTCCTATTATATTTGGAGAACATATTAGATAAAATGGAATAATTCATGTTTAATCTGTAAATTTTATAATTTATCCAGATGACAGATAATATAACATTTTTTATTCTTATATATGTTTTTATTTTTCTTTCAGACAGATGACGATGGCAAAAGAAAACGATTATTGTCTGTGAGTGATTTTGATGAAGTAAGTTTTATTTTAGTTGCAATTTCTTCATAGCGTAGCTAATATTTTATGTCGAACTGGGTTTTTTTTTATTTCATTTTTAGAGCGATGGTGAAGAAATAACGAACTCAGAGAGCAGTAATTCATCTGATTATGAGACTGAGTTAACACCACATTGTTCAAAAAAAAGAAACACTGGTCGTAGTGCTCATATTTATCGTAGCTCATTAGGTGCGGATGAAGGAAATGGTTGGTTATTTCATTATTACATTTTGTTTTTTCGATTACATTAGTTATTTATCTTATTCTTTGTTTGATCAGAAAAAAAAAAAGACAGCAAAAATTTTCGTAGCTTATAAGATAGTGTGTGTATTCGATGAAGTTGAAAGGTCATAAGAAGAGTATTTTGTGATAAAATGTTAATAAAAAAAAAAAAAATGTTGATGACTCATGTGTTATTGATGATTTATACCAATGAATTTTAGAGCCAGAATCGGAACAAAAATATGAAAGAAAGAAACCAGTATTGCAATTGAAGCGTGTTGGAAAGAAGAGACAAAAAAAAGATCGTAGGAAAAAATTATTTTTAGAGGTAATTATTTTATTTTATTAGCATTCTGTTTTCATTTTTTCAGGTTTACAAAATTTTTCTTATCATAATGATAACAGCTAAAGTAATGTCAGTTATCATTTCGTAAGTAATTATTTAATTTAGAATATTTGTTCTCATTTCATTGTAGTTTAGTTTTCGAACCTCAACATTTTCTTTCTTTTTTACAACAATATTCCGAAATTTGTAATGTTGGTCATGTTATTATTAGATAACAGAACTTATATTTTTGGTTATTTGGAAATCAACAAAAATATGTTTAAATTATACCTTATTCAGGAAGCATACAAAGGAAAACTTGTGGTAAAAATAAGTGAAGATGCAAAGAAGCAGTTGCGAGAATTTCATCCGGAACAATTTTATGCAAATGTACCATTATTACCTTTCGAAGCAGAAGAACGTTTAAAATTGAAGGATACCGATCTTCAATTATTGGGATATATGCCAGAAAGAGAGGATTTTGAATGGGTCAGTCATTGGAATAATATACTGCTGCATTTTTTATCCTTTTAATTTTTTTTTTCTATTTTCTAAATGTAAAACAAGGATTTCTTTACTGTTCATAACCGAAATATCCCTTTCAAATCTTCCATTCCATTTTTTTTTTTCTTGCCCTATCCACTTTATCTGCTATTTTTGTCCCCTAATTTTCTGTATATTTTATTTTCCAACCTAAAATTTATACTGCATGCAGCACTATGTAATGATACATATTTCAGGAATTCATGAATGATGCAGAAAAATTAATTAGCCGTTTAATGTTGCAGCCAGGTCCTGATACAGATGAAGACAGTGCTTTTGAAAGCGGTGGTTTTTTTTTTTTTTTTTTTTTTTTAATGGTTTAGAGGGTTTTTTTTTTCGATGTATCAATCACTGACAATGAAAACTGTCGCTTAATGTTCATTTCACGTATACACGTATCACGTACTGCATATGATGTTCTGTGGAGTATTTTTTGACTTCTAGAAGGGAGATATCTATAACTGCAGGTATAGCTAGCACTAAAGTGGTACAATTTTAAAAAGGACAAAAAAGCAGTAAAAGAAAGAGACTGATTTATTTTTGTAGAATTCAAATAACAAATGTTATTGAATCAGCATTTCGCATTGCTATCAAATTATATTCCCATTAGTATGTACATGATATGTTTATATATATATATATATTTTGTTTAGCTGTAAAATTAGCAAAGGTGCAGAAATATAATCGAATCTTGAAGCAGAGAAGAGCAAAAAAAGCAGCTGTTAGAGAATATGAACTTGTGAACAAGTTTTTTGACAAAATCAAGGTAATTTTTTTTTTTTAATAGTTTTTAGTAATTATAAACATCACTTCATTTTATTTTTTTTTTAGTTGCATTTTGGAACAAATTAGGGATCAGTGATATCGATCAGAAGTTTAGAACTTTATGTATTATTAAAATGCCTTTTTTCTCCTGTCATTGAACTCAATTAATTGAGTATGAAAACAAAATTGTTAATTGAAGTGGTGTGCAATTTTCAGAAAATAGAAGAAACTCGTCGGAGTATGACACACAGTCAGCATTATTCATCTTCAACACGCCAATATGAATTACTTCATTCATTTATGAAAAGAACTTGTCAAGTAGTGAGACAATCGGAGTTAAATCAATTATTTGATGCAATCATAGGTAATAATTTAGTAATTTTTCTAATCCTAAAAAAAAGAACAAAGGAAATATATTTTTCCTTTTTTCATTGTCTTATTTTGAAATTATAATTTTTGTGTTACTGCAAGAATAGATTTGAATTTTTGATTTGATTGTGTATTTTAATGAGAATTATTTAAAGTGTTACTTTTTCAGGTTACACGAACTTGAATGAAAGGATTTTGAAATTGGAAAATCTTAAAGCAGATATTGTTAAGGATCCGAAAGGTTTTTCATAATTTGGATAATTTGGTATTCCCATTAGTAGAGAGTCTACCTTACCTGTATTTTAACTTTAACTTAATACACAAAATTATTTTTAGAGTAGGTTATTTGCAGTAAGTTAGAAAAGTAATCGCAAGTATCCATCTCCACTCCAGTAAATATATTACAAAAGTATATGTATTTTTTAGGTAAGAAGAGATAACCCCGAAGAGACAGCCCAAGCAATGAGTATGAAACAAATTTGAGGCTTTATATACATGCCTATTTCCGATATGCATTTGCTTGCAATACTACCGGATGACTTTATTGGAAATGTTGGAAAAGGATCAGTAAATGCATCCAAAATTGCCCAAATATTCCAGGATCTCAGGGCATATTAGGACTAAATATGAACTAGAATATGATATGATGCAAATAGTCCATCCATTAAACATGATACATCCTATAGGTCAGATCCAAAACAAAGCTCAATTTTTCATCAAAGCCAGAATAATATCTAGATGCTAATTAAATTTCAAACCTCATTAATATCATCTTTCAATCATTTTTATAATTGTTTCGAAACTGTTGCAATGTGATAAAGTAACACTTCTTAATATTTAGCATTATATTTAAATGTAAAGATTAGTTAATACTTCATCTTTGGAATCAATCTAATTTTATGCTAAGACTGCTACTATTCTCATAAAGCGATAGTGACATACGAAAAAGGAACTGTTGTATTTTGATTGGTGACACACGCAGGAATATGTAGTGAAACATAGAAATTGATTGGTTTCTTTTTTTTTTTTTTTTCAGAATCAACTTTTGCTGGAAGCGTTTCAAACTCTGAGCTGTTTAGCAAGCCATTGAAAAAGGATCAGTGAAATTCGATATGTTAATTACAGAATACAGAAATTGACTATGTTGCTATGATTTGATAAGAGAATTTCAGTAGAGAATGATGGTATTTTCAAATGCTAGGAAAGATACTCTAAAAAATTCCAGTGAAATTATTGATTTTTCAGGGATAAAAATCGATAGGTACAATTTATTTTTGTAAAGTGTTGTTTTTGAATTTCTCATTTAAGTGTATTCGAGTGGACTAAATAATGGTAGTATCAAAGTTTTTGAGATTTTATTCAGTATGAAATAATTTTTATATTTCTCATATAACTTATATTGTGAGTCGTTGGTAATTTTTCTGCGATATTTGCAATACTTATTTCAATCCTCAAATTTCTGGTGTTTTTTCTAGTTTTCGTACTTTTTTTGCCATTAACATTGTTATTCTTTATTGCATATATATATATTAATCATTATAATGTTTTTGTATTTAATTACGGAATAAATTTTTCTTAGTAAGTCCATAGTAACATCTAAAAACGCATGCTGCATAGTATAGCTTTTTTCAGAATTTTTCCTGTTATTTCTATCGTATGAAATCGAGCGGTTATCTTTTATTTCGATTTAATTGTAAAATAAAAAACAAAAATATAATGTGATTATTGTTTGTATCAATTATATCCGAGAATTCGTAATAATCCCAAAGAATTTATACTTTTATAAAATTGTAAATACACAATTATCATTGTTTAATATCCCTTATAAAACGATAAATTTATTACCCAAGATGAAATTTGTTTACACTTAAATTACTTATTAGAATCATAAGTGTTTGAAAATTTGTCAATTTAAAGTTTTTTTTATCATGGTTAAGCTTATTATATATATCTGTGTTTTTGATTTCATTTTTCACTTCCTTACTTTTTATTTTGCCTAGGTTTTCTCCTCCTTTTTTCTTTTAATGTTTTCAAGGCATACGATGAAACTATATTAATAACAAGTAACAAAAAAGATAAACATTTTTTTAATTTCATCTTAAAATATTTTTATGACTTTAAATAGGAAAAAAAAATTCAAAAAAATTTGTTTTCAAAAAATTAGAATCGATGATAATCCATTCTTTCTTCATAATTTAGAGAGACTTAAATGTTAATTAATAAAAATTATACGTTTTGATATTCAAGAAAAAGATGATCATTTAACTTTTTAATTATTTTCACTTCTAACTATTTGCTTGTAATATAATGGAATAAAGTGAAAAGTTTATACCAGCTAAAACCGTTTCAAATTGAACAGCTGCAGTTTTCTGATTATAACAAATTTTAAATTTCATTTCTTTATCATATTATTATTCGTTTTCTTAGTTTCATCATCAAATTTTCTAATCAACTGTATTTACATTTCAATTGCTAAAAAAATCATCGATTAATATGAATCATTTTATTCTAGATACATCCTTTAATTTGCTAGAATACTTAACTTAAAATTTAATTCGCATTTTTCGTTTTGGATTGCAAATATTAGAGCGTTTTTCTTTTGTTTTTTGTTTTTTAACAATAAAATAGTGTAATTTAAATCCAATAAATAAATAAGAGTAAAATCAAAAAAAAAAAAAACCCCGAATATGTCGAAATAAATTTGTATTAAATCCATGAGACCAAAGATTGTCGTATTTGACTAATTCTTAGATAAATTTCTCAATTGAGAAATTCGTTATTCAATACTCATTTGCATTTCTTGGAATTTCACAGTTTGTTAACAAAGAATATTTGCATTACTTCAACACAGAGTTGAAAATTGCTCTCAATTTTATTATCAAAGTCTTCCTGACACGTTGTCAGCTCTTTGTTTCATTCTTTGTTCTAAGAATTGTAAAGCTTTTCCAATATGGTATTTGCTCTTGTAAGTAATTGATGTAGTATTAAAATTTAACTCTTACTTTATAAAAACTAAAGATCATCATCTATTAGGGTATAACTCTTTACTTGCAGGTAATCATAATCTATTAATTTTGCCAATATTGTTGTCCAGCAATTTTAATTTCAGTAAAGCACAGATCAATCAATTTCAAACAAAAATCATTGCTGCAAAAGAAATTGTTATAATAAATATTCTTATAAAAATTTTTTGACTCTATAAATTATAAAAATTATTTGTCTCTATAAATTTTAATTAATAAATAACTGAATCATTTTCATTTCAATTCAATTTTTAATTCCAGTATAATTTCCTGCATGAAATTTTTTTATTATTCATAAAAATAGTGAATGTGTGAATTAATTTATTTTTCTGTTATAATAATTGCCACAAACAATAAATTATAAAAAATTACGTAAATGAGATCATATTTCACAGCAAATAAAATATTTTTTCATTGCTAAAATAACATTTATGAAGAATGAAATTGGAAATTGTTACAGAATCAGAAAATTCTTATAAATTTTCTACCAATATTAAATTTTTTTTTTAACATGATTTTTTTTTTTTATTTCATTTCATTTCTTTCAAAATAACGCATACTTTTATCATTTATTTATTCATTTAATTCCAATATAATTTAAAATAATAATAATAAATAATAATAATAGTAAAACATCTAAAGATAAAAACAGAAATTAAAAAAAAAAAAACAATTTCTTATCAGATTTTTGGCAATATTATTATGCAAGCTATCACATAACCATCAATTAATCAATCAATTAGTCAACCAATAGTTCAATTAATCAACATAATTATAAATTTTCATTCCAATGATGTAAAAAGTATCTTATGCAAATTTTAATTAATAAATAACTGAATCATTTCCATTTCAATTCAATTTTTAATTCCTGCATGAAATTTTTTTTCATTCATAAAAATAGTGAATGTGTGAATTCATTTATTTTATAATTGCCACAGACAATAAATTATAAATTATATTTCAAAATATTCAAATATAGTCTAAATGTTAATGTTAAATATTAATTTTAGAGATTTTTTAAAAAATATATTATATATTATTATAATGAAATTATTATAGAAGTTTTAATTCATTTGTTAATGAGTTTAATTTGCTGAGTTCTTTTTTTTCGTGTTACATTCCAATTTCACATCATCTATATTTTAGTTAATTCAATCATTTCAATTTAAATTATAATTAACTTTTTTATACACTTTCCTGATGATTCAATAGCTAGCAATGCAGATCTTTTTTTTTTTTTAATTATTAAAAAAAACAACAATCCATTGATTAAATAATTTTTTATGCTTATTAATTATCAGTGAAATAAATTTCATAATATGTAATACTTCACTTTTTAGTATCATAATTTTTAATCAATTTTATTTTAATTTTATTCATTTGAAGAAAAAGAACATTTCAATATCTCTAACTTTTCCCTTCCTTTGCATCTTCTATCTGTCATCTATTTTGTAGCAAAAATGCAGAAGAGCTTATTTTGTTATATTTATCAATTAAATTTGAATTTAATTTTGAAAAAGAGAAAAACAAAGTGACAAAAGTTAATATTCAATTTAATCCCAACGCCATAGTCTTTCTCTCTATCTCTCTTTTTATAAATCTGAAATGTACTTATTACAAAATTAAATATTCTAGCCTAATATACCATACTTCTTTCCTACATTACAAAAAACTAAAAACTTTTCCAAAAGAGTAATTGATAAGTAGGCTATATACACATTAAGCTGTAAATTAATTAAACAAAAAGTGGGAAAAAAGAAATTTTGAATTTTTTTAAAATATTCACAACTTTTTATTTGAAGGAAAAAAAGAGCAAAACCCTTTTTTTTTTCCTTGTGATCGTTAATTTCTTCAGTACAATTTTCGAAATTTTATGATGCATAACGATAGTTCTATTTTCCTTTCCATTTTTCTTTCTTCTTTCCTTTTTTATACTTTTATTTTATAAGTTCAACTGAAAATAAAAAACGAAGCATGCTTTTTTTTTATTTTGTCAATTATTGCCAATACAAACAAATATATTCAAATATTTCACATTAAATAATCAATATACAATATGAAATTATATAAACTACAAATAAAAGTTTAATTTTAATTTTCTCTTTCCAATTATTTTAATAGTAACTATTCAAAAAAAAAAAAAAAAAAAAAAGCTTTTCTCGTTAGTTAAATGTTATTAGTAATTATTATTATTATTACTTATTATTATTATTTAATATTATTATTATTATTACTATTGTTATTATTATTATTATTATTTAATACTATTATTATAGTTTACTATTATGGTAAACTATAATTATAGTAAAATTACTATTAATTCTATTATTAGTTATAGATATATGGTGTTGAATATCATCGTAGTGATTTAATAGGCGACAAAAGAAAGTTTATTGAGGGCGCTTATCAGGTACTAT